GGCCCTGCGCTGCCACGCCCGCGCCCGCGCTGTGCTCCGCCACTACCGCCACCTGCCCTCCTTCCGCGCCATCGAGGACGAGAGCCATGCCATCATGGCCGACCTGGCCCAGCGCCTCCGCGCACGCCTCCGGTGCGTTCACTCTGGAGCCTGCTGATGGCAGCTCTGGGAAATGGGGCTAGGGGGGGTGTTCACTCTGGAGCCTACTGGTGAGAGCTTTGGGGAACAGCCGGGGAGGGGGGTGTCACTCTGGAGACTAATGATAGCCATTCCAGTAAACAGCCTTCTTGCGGGGGGCCATGGTGGTTGTGGTATGTTAACTCTGAAGCCTACTGAATAACAGCTGCAGGAGACAGCTTTTTAAGGGATCGGGTGTGTTAAATCTGGAGCCTAGTAATAACAGCCCCCAAGAAACATCCTAGGGAGCGGGGCACTCACCCTCGAGCATATCGACCCCAGGAGCCATCCCTTGTGCAGAACATTCCTAGAGTAAGGGGGATAATTCTGACCTCTACTGAGAGCTGCTTCAAGGCTGCGTTCTGTGGGGTTTTCTCATGTGTGTGCGGTAAAGGGATTGTTCTGGAGCCTGCTGAGGCGTTTCAGCCATTTTTCATTGTCATCGTAAGCTCTGGAACCTACCGAGTTTTTTATTACTACAACCACTGTTAACTCTGGAAAACACTGGTGCTGTCAAGGATTTTTTTCCCTTTGTTTTTTGAATAATTACTGTTTACTCTGAAGCCTACCAATGACTTTTAGCGCTTATGCCCCATTTTCTTGCTGTGCCACTGTTAACCCTGGAACCTCCCACCATTCCCAAGTAATCCCCTCATCTCCCCCACCCCTCAGGGATGACACCTTGGACCCCAAGGAGCTCACCGAGTGCGTGGAGATGCTGTTGCAGCTGGAGGAGCCACCTGAGGAGCTGTGCGAGGAGTTCCTGAGCCACGCTGGCGCCCGCCTCGAGGCTGAGCTGGCAGCCCTGGAGGCCGAGCTGCCCCCAGCC